TGGCGGGCGAGCACGGGACACCCAAAGCGGTCGAGCACGAGAGCGGAACTGTCCAACGGTCGGACAAGTCAAGTCGGTCCAGCACGAGACACCTACGGCGGTCGAACAAGTCAGATCGATCCAGCACGCCACACCTAAGGCGGTCGAACAAGTCAGGTCGGTCGAGCACGAGACACCTAAGGCGGCCGAGCACGGACAAGCCAGGTCGGCCTCCTGGAGAGGAGGTAGAGGGCAAGGAGGAGGAGGAGGAAAAAGAGGAGAGAAGGGAGGAGGACCATCGAGCATAGCGGCCGAGCTCAGGGACCACCTCCTGCGCCCCCCTCTGGTGTCGAGAAAGTGCCACGCCTGCTGTGCCTGGACGACCGTCGTGCATAGCGGCCGCGCTCAGGGACCACCCCCTGCGCACCCCCTCTGGTGTCAAGGAGGTGCCACGCCTGCTGTGCCTGGAGGACCGGCGCGTATAGCGCCGCGCTCAGGGACCACCCCCTGCGCCCCCTTTGGTGTCGAGAAAGTGCCACGCCTGCTGTGCCTGGACGACCGTCGCGCATAGCGGCCGAGCTCAGGGACCACCTCCTGCGCCCCCCTCTGGTGTCGAGAAAGTGCCACGCCTGCTGTGCCTGGACGACCGTCGTGCATAGCGGCCGCGCTCAGGGACCCCCCCCTGCGCACCCCCTCTGGTGTCGAGAAAGTACCACGCCTGCTGTGCCTGGACGACCAGCGCGTATAGCAGCCGCGCGCTCAGGGACCACCCCCTGCGCACCCCCTATGGTGTCGAGAAAGTGCCACGCCTGCTATGCCTGGACGACCGGCGCGTATAGCAGCCGCGCTCGGGGACCACCCCCTGCGCACCCCCTCTGGTGTCGAGAAAGTGCCACGCCTGCTATGCCTGGACGACCGGCGCGTATAGCAGCCGCGCTCAGGGACAACCCCCTGCGCACCCCCTATGGTGTCGAGAAAGTGCCACGCCTGCTATGCCTGGACGACCGGCGCGTATAGAGACCGCAGCGAGAGACCACCCCCTGCGCACCCCCTATGGTGTCGAGAAAGTGCCACGCCTGCTATGCCAGGACGACCGGCGCGTAAAGAGACCGCAGCGAGAGACCACCCCCTGCGCACCCCCTATGGTGTCGAGAAAGTGCCACGCCTGCTATGCCTGGACGACCGGCGCGTATAGTGACCGCAGCGAGAGACCACCCCCTGCGCACCCCCTATGGTGTCGAGAAAGTGCCACGCCTGCTATGGGGACGACCGGCGCGTTAGAGACCGCAGCGAGAGACCACCCCTTGCGCACCCCCTATGGTGCCGAGAAAGTGCCACGCCTGCTATGCTTGGACGACTGGCACGGATAGCGGCCGCGCTCAGGGACCACCCCTTGCGCACCCCCTATGGTGTCGAGAAAGTGCCACGCCTGCTATGCCTGGACGACTGGCACGGATAGCGGCCGCGTTCAGGGACCACCCCCTGCGCACCCCCTATGGTGTCGAGAAAGTGCCACGCCTGCTATGCCTGGACGACGGCACGGATAGCGCCGCGCGAGGGACCACCCCTGCGCACCCCCTGTGGTGTCGAGAAAGTACCACGCCGCTATGCCTGGACGACGGCACGGAGAGGGACCACCCCCTGCGCACCCCCTATGGTGTCGAGAAAGTGCCACGCCTGCTATGCCTGGACGACCGGCGCGTATAGAGACCGCAGCGAGAGACCACCCCCTGCGCACCCCCTATGGTGTCGAGAAAGTGCCACGCCTGCTATGCCTGGACGACCGGCGCGTATAGAGACCGCAGCGAGAGACCACCCCCTGCGCACCCCCTATGGTGTCGAGAAAGTGCCACGCCTGCTATGCCTGGACGACTGGCACGGATAGCGGCCGCGCTCAGGGACCACCCCCTGCGCACCCCCTATGGTGTCGAGAAAGTGCCACGCCTGCTATGCCTGGACGACCGGCGCGTATAGAGACCGCAGCGAGAGACCACCCCCTGCGCACCCCCTATGGTGTCGAGAAAGTGCCACGCCTGCTATGCCTGGACGACCGGCGCGTATAGAGACCGCAGCGAGAGACCACCCCCTGCGCACCCCCTATGGTGTCGAGAAAGTGCCACGCCTGCTATGCCTGGACGACCGGCGCGTATAGAGACCGCAGCGAGAGACCACCCCCTGCGCACCCCTTATGGTGTCGAGAAAGTGCCACGCCTGCTATGCCTGGACGACCGGCGCGTATAGAGACCGAGGCGAGAGACCACCCCCTGCGCACCCCCTATGGTGTCGAGAAAGTGCCACGCCTGCTATGCCTGGACGACCGGCGCGTATAGAGACCGCAGCGACAAACCACCCCCTGCGCACCCCCTATGGTGTCGAGAAAGTGCCACGCCTGCTATGCCAAGACGACTGGGGCCACGCCTGCTATAGCAGGACGACTGGGGCGTATAGAGACCGCAGCGAGAGACCACCCCCTGCGCCCCCCCTATGGTGTCGAGAAAGTGCCACGCCTGCTATGCCAGGACTGGTGTCGTCTTGTGTGTGCGAGTGTGTGCATGCGTGCGGCTGTATGTAGACGCGTGTCGCCGAGACGTGCTGTGCTGTGCTCTGCTGAGCTGTGCTGTGCTGTCCTATGCTGTGCTGCGGTCTGCTGTGCTGTGCTGCGCTGTGCTGACGAGGAGGAGGAGGAGGAGGAGGAGGAGGAGGAGGAGGAGGAGGAGGAGGAGGGGAGGAGGAGGGCGGGTGTGGGGGAGACGCGGGCGCGGCGCGGCAGGGAAGAAAACCAGAACCCCACGAAGCATGTGGGGAAAAAAACTGAGAACTCCACGTGCGGCTCCGATCCAGCCGAGCTCGAAACATGTCGATGATCTGATGCAAGTGTGACCAATGGCGTCGAGCGAACTGCTCCCAGACCTCGGTGGTGAAAGGACGCACGCACAGCAGGAAGGCACGACAACGCCCACGGCCCCGCGCCCATGCTTCAGTGCAAGCCTCACGCACTGCCTCGCTCACAGATCCTTCAGAGCCGCCCCTGCGCAGAGGATTGCATCTCTGAACACACTTATCTCAACGCCGACCATTGCGCGGGCTGCAAAAAATAGCCGTCAGTCAGGCCTCGCACAAGTCCATCCACCCGCCAGGAGGGGAAGCCCGCGCCCGCCCGGCCTCCTGGATTCCATGTTCATCGTGAACTACAGCCCGCCATCATGGCCAAAAAGGCCCTGCGCCCCCTGACATGGTTGGGCGGCGGCGGCGCCGCCGCCTCAGGCGGCGGGAGCCCCGGCGGCCCCCCTCCATCATGAGCTGGACTGCTTCGCCGCTGCACTTTCCCCGGCGACCTGGACCGCCTCGTCGATTGCCTTCTAGTCGCGCTGGACAGCGGGCGCCGCTGCGGTTGCTGCGCCGGGGCCTCCACCTTCAGCGGCGCCATCAGTCGCAGGCCTAGAGGTTGACACCAACACCAATATCGGCGGTGTACCTCCATCGAGGGGAAGAAGATCCCGATCTCGGCGATGGTGGTAATACTCTGGCTTCCAAGGTGGCCGAAATATTGCCACCAACACCGAAATCTAGGATCATCTTCCCCTGTGGAGGCAACCCCCTGCGTAGGTGTTGGTGCCCACTTCCAGGCCTCCGATATCAGCAGCAGGACCAGCAGGAGGGGGAGCCGCCGCAGCCCGCTGCCCGCTGGCTGGCCGCCTGCCTGGCGGGCGGGCGGGCGCCCGAGCTGCCGGCTGCGCCGCACCTCCTGGGCCTCCGCCTGGCCGGGAGCCCTCTGCCTTGACGTCTCGGCGCTGGCGCTCGACAGAATGCCGTGCCCGCGTCTCTCGCGCCTCCTGCCGCGACTTCTGGACGCTTGCCGCGCGGGGCCCGACCGCGGCCACGAGGGCCTCCTGAATGTGCTTCCCCATCGTGGCTTTGAGCTCAAGCCGCCTCGCCTTCTCGAGGTCTTCGACGCCCAGGTCAGACAAGTCCAAAATCTTCCCATCAACAATCTCGACTGCGTCGATCTCACCCTCCCCATTGGGCAGCTGGAAAAGGCTGATCTGGGATCCGAAGGGGGCTGCCACACCATCAGCCGACCACTTCCACTTCCGCCTTGAGCAACTCATGCTTGAGCTCCTCCCGAGACTCGAGCTTGGCATCGTACGACACGACGGCGGCCTCGGCCGTGGCTGCACTACACTCCTCGAGGTAGCTGCGCGCTGCATCTTCTCGCGCGACACACGCCTCAAGCTGCGCTTCAGCCCTGCGGCACTCCATCCCCTTAGCCAAGACCTTGTCCTCCCAGCGGCGCCCTCGCAGGCTTCGCAGGCTGGGCTGGCGGCGCGATGGCGCCCTCCAGCGCCTCCAGCTCGGCCGACGCGTCGCCTCCCAGTCGACAGCGAAACTGCGCCAGGAGGGCCGCCGCGTCCACGTCGCCAGGCTGCGTGGCCCCGCCCTTGGGCTTGGCGGTGCCCCACTGCCACTGCCCAGGCGGACACGCGGGCGGCACCTGGCAGGGCGGAGACGCCGACGATTGTGCAGCCCGGACGCCTTTTGGCAGTGTCGCGCCACGGCAACTCCATAGGCCCCAGCGTCGAGCCACACTGCAAGCAGAAGGTCCTCGACTTCCAATTCCACTTGTATCAACGCGCCGAGCACGAGACAGAATGCGCGGTTTGAGCGGCCTTGCCCGTGGGCCCCAGCAGGAGCTCACCCGAAACATCGTCGTGCCCGCTGGCACCTGAAACTACAATACGCGGGCCCCACGAGGGAGATGTGAGGTATGGGTTCCTGGACGCAGGGCTCAGGGTTCGGAGGTGGGGGCGCACCTCCCCCTTGCCACACCCAAGTTCGCTGAGCCTCCTCTTGCTCCAGACTTGAGCCAACATGGCTACGGAGGAGGAGGAGAAGGAGGAGGAGGAAGAGGAGGAGGAGTAGGAGGAGGAGGAGGAGGAGGAAGAGGAGGAAGAGGAGGAGGAGGAGGAGGAGGAGGAGAAGGAGGAGGAGGTGCAGGTGCTCAGCGGGTGCCCCCCGCACACCAGCTCGGGCTCCCACGCCGCGCCGCCCTGGGCCGCCCGCCGCTCGCGCCACTCCGCGTACAGCGCCCCGAGGCGCCCCGCCGCCATCCCCGGGGGCTGCACGGGCCAGGGCGCTGGCGTCGGGGCCAGGCTCGGGCCAGCAGCGTCCGCGGCACAGGCCCATGGGCTCGCTAGGGGGCCACCTGCGAGCCCTACCCCTGCCCCCCTCAGAGATCGTGGGGGGCAGGGGTAGGGTTCGCAGGTGGCCCCCTACTCGCCAGCCGGGCCCAACGGCTGCGGACCCCGGCCTGCCCGTGGGGCGCACCAGGACATGCCAGCACGACGTGCATATCTCGACAGTTCCCGGCCGCCGTGAGGCCCCGCCTTCTTCCGCCTCTCCTCTGCAAAGTTAAAGCTGTGCGCGTCCCGCTTAGCTTCCAGCGGAAGAGGTTCGCTCTCGCCCCGCAGATAAAAAAAAAAAAATCAGCAATAGATCAGCTCCCAAGCGGTACGGCCAAAACGAGCCCGCCACGGAGCTTCTACCACAAGAGTTCTGAGCGCGCGCTTCACCCTTGAGGAGCCGACGCACACATGGTATCAGCATGTATGGCTGGCGCCGATGGCCTGCTCACGCTTGCCTGCGACGCGCGGGAGCGCCAATCGGTGGGGTCTGAACCTGACGCTCCGCGCCGGAAAATCACAGCTTGCTCGCGGTTTTGTCTGCGCTGCGAATCATCGTCGTCGTCGTCACCGTCGTCGTCGTCACCGTCGTTGCTGTTGCCGTGAATGCTCCAATTGCACGTCCTACTGCAGACCCCATCCCCCTTCTATTGATCTTACGCTTGCACTTAGGAGTTCTTACTTCTTCCGACCAGCCATAACTGGGGGAGCTGTGGTCCTTACCCCCCCTGGGGGAACCCATCGCCTCGACGATCTCTCGAGAGGGATGTCGAAATCGATGTGTCCCCCAGGGGGGTAAGGACCACAGCTCCCCCAGTTGTGGCTGGCCTGTTGTTGTGATACCGAACTGGGTGGGTCACCCGAGCATCTGTTGGGCGGCCGCCCCGTGGCCGCCACGCGGCCGCCCGCGGCCGGCCCGCGGCATGCCGTGGCCACCCCGCGGCCACCCGATGGCCACCCGTGGCCGCCCAGCGTGGCTCACAGCACACGTCTTGCACCACATAGCACTCCGGAGTCCATAACAACGTCGGGGGGGGTCACATTTGGGGGGGGGGGTCTGATTTGAGCTGTCTTGGAGGGTTCGGGGGGGTCTGGGCAAAGGGCCGCCCTTTCATGGATGGTCTGGGAGGGTCTAAAACTTCTCGTCTGGGAGGGTTGAGACCCCCTCCCTTTTATCACGAAGTCTGGAGTGCACAGCATAGTGTGCACCACGTAGACTGCACCAAGGAACTTGCACCACGTCGCTTGCACCGCACAGCTCACGCCTCCCAGCATGCGAGCACAGCTCTTGCGCCACGCGGCTCTTGCACCAAGTGGACTGCACCACACAATCTTACTTAAGGAACTGGATGGGCTTACCGGTTTTTCTTTACTCTGCGGGCCCGTGCCGCCTTGTGGGCTCCCTGCGCGGAGTTTCCCGAGGTTCCGCCACGTTGCGGGCCCGTGCCGCCTCGTGGGCGCCTCGTAGGCGCCCCGTATGCTGGGTAGGTTTCCCAACGATTCGCCGCGTTGCCGCCCGAGCCTCCTCGTGGGCGCCTCGTGGGTGCGCCCCGTGCGCTGGGTGTGTTTCCCGAGGATTCCCCGCGTTGGCGCCCGTGCCCGCTCGAGAATTCCGCGCGTTGGCGCCCGTGCCCGCTGTTGGGTGCCCCGTGGGCGCCCCGTGCGCTCACACCACATAGATTTTACACAATATGGCTGACATCACATAGATTACATTACGCATCGGATGTTTGTAGCTCCCACCACGTAGGTTTCACAGCAAAGCTCACACCATAGAGATCGCAACACACAGCTCACACAACACGCCGTACATCACAGAGCCTATTCTACATAGCTTACACCACATCGCTTCCACCAGAAGCGTACACAACATAGCTTACTCCGCACACCATGCATCACGTAGCTTCCACCTCCCCAATGCAATGAGTCACTGGTTGGGGGCCACACTGGCGAACATGATTCGCATTACCAATAATGTCGATACGATGCGCCCTCTGAATTCCCAACCATCCTGTGGTGTTGGGTCCTCGTTTTGAAGAGACGGCCCCGCGTCTCATTCTCCTCCCGCTGCCCCCTCCCTCCTTCCTCCTCCCCGTCCTTGCCTCTGCTCTCGGCACACCTCTCACACGTTCCGTAGCCCCATAGGGAGCTCCACCGAAGGTCCCAATGGTACAGCCCGCATGCGGTTCCCCAATCCAGGGCAGCGTTTCGTAACCCCATAGGGAGAACCACCGAAGGTCCCAGTGGCACAGCCCGCATGCGGTTCCCCCACCCAGGGCAGCGCTTCGTGGCCCCATAGGGAGCTCCACCGAAGGTCCCAGTGGCACAGCCCGCATGCGGTTCCCTCACCCAAGGCAGCGTTTCGTGGCCCCATAAGGAGCTCCACCGAAGGTCCCAGTGGCACAGCCCGCATGCGGTTCTCCCACCCAGGGCAGCGTTTTGTGGCCCCATAGGGAGCTCAACCGAAGGCCCCAGTGGCACAGCCCGCATGCGGCTCCCCCACCCAGGGCAGCGCCTCGTGGCCCCATAGGGAGCTCAACCGAAGGTCCCAGTGGCACAGCCCGCATGCGGTTCCCCCACCCAGGGCAGCGCTTCGAAGCCCCATCGCATAGGGAGCTCCACCGTAGGCCCCAATGGCGCAGTTCGCATGCAGTTCCCCCACCCAGGGCGACGCTTCGTAGCACAATAGGGAGAACCACCGAAGGTCCCACTGGCGCAGCCCGCATGCGGTTCCCCCACCCAGGGCAGCGCTTCGTGGCCCCATATGGAGCTCCATCGAAGGCCCCAGTGGGGGTGCCCGCATGCGGTTCCCCAACCCAGGGCAGCGCTTCGTGGCCCCGTAGGGAGCTCAACCGAAGGTCCCAGTGGCGCAGTTCGCATGCGGCTCCCCAACCCACGGCAACGCTTCGTAGCCCCATAAGGAGCTCCACCGTAGGCCCCAGTGGCGCAGTTCGCATGAGTCCCCCCTACCCAGGGCAGCGCTTCGTGGCACCGCAGGGAGCTCCACCGAAGGTCTCAGTGGCGCAGTTCGCATGCGTTCCCCCAACCCAGGGCAGCGCTTCGTGGCCCCATAGGGAGCTCCACCGAAGGTCCCAGTGGCGCAGTTCGCATGCGCGTCCCCCCCTCCCCCCCCCCAGTACAGCGTTTCGTGGCCCATAGGGAGCTCCACGTTAGGCCCCAGTGGCGCACTTTCGCATGCGGCCACCCCACCGAGTACAGCGTTCCGTGGCCCCTAGGGAGCTCCCCGAGGTCCAGTGGCGCAGTTCGCATGCGCCCCCCCCACCCACACCCCACACCCCACCCAGTACAGCGCTTCGTGGCCCCATACGCCCCCCCCCCCCGAATGCGATACTCACAACTGCATATGGTTGGGTCCTTCGCCAGGCGAATTCCCAACCATCCTGTGGTGTTGGGTCCTCGTTTTGAAGAGGCGGTGCCCCGCGTCTCCTTCTCCTCCCGCTGCCCCCTCCCTCCTCCCCCTCCCCCTCCTTGCCTCTGTTTTCGGCACGCCCCTCACACGCTTCGTGGCCCCATAGGGAGCCCCACCGAAGGTCCCACTGGCGCAGCCCGCATGCGGTTTCCCCACCCAGGGCAGCGCTTCGTGGCCCCATAGGGAGAACCACCGAAGGTCCCAGTGGCACAGCCCGCATGCGGTTCCCCCACCCAGGGCAGCGCTTCGTGGCCTCATAGGGAGCTCAACCGAAGGTCCCAGTGGCACAGCCCGCATGCGGTTCCCCCACCCAGGGCAGCGTTTCGTAGCCCCATAGGGAGCTCCACCGAAGGCCCCAATGGCACAGCCCGCATGCCGTTCCCCCACCCAGGGCAGCGTTCCGTGGCCCCATGGGGAGCTCCACCGAAGGTCCCAGTGGCACAGCCCGCATGCGGTTCCCCTACCCAGGGCAACGTTTCGTAGCCCCATAGGGGGGCCCCACCGAAGGTCCCAGTGGCACAGCCCGCATGCGGTTCCCCCACCCTGGGCAGCGTTTCGTAGCCCCATAGGGAGCTCCACCGAAGGCCCCAGTGGCACAGCCCGCATGTGGTCCCCCCACCCAGGGCAGCGGTTCGTGGCCCCATAGTAAGCTCCACCGGCGGGCCCAGTGGCACAGCCCGCATGCGGTTCCCCCGCCCAGGGCAACGCTTCGTAGCCCCATAGGGAGCTCCACCGAGGATCCCAGTGGCCCAGTACTACTGCTAGTACTATTCCTACTACTACGACTACTACTACTACTACTACTACTACTACTACTACTACTACTACTACTACTACTACTACTACTACTACTACTACTACTACTATACTACTACTACTACTACTACTACTACTACTACTACTACTACTACTACTACTACTACTACTACTACTACTACTACCGCTACCACCACCACACCCACCACCAACACACCACTACAACTATTACTGTTTCTACGACTACTACTAAGGTACTACTACTACTACTACTACTACGACTAGTACTACTACTACTACTACTACTACTACTACTACTACTACTACTACTACTACTACTACTACTACTACTACTTCTACTACTACTACTACTACGAATACGAATACGACTACGACTACGACTACGACTGCGACTACGATGACTACT